TTTAATGAAGGGGTTGGGAACCACAGGACATAATTTTAAGGTGAAAGTCAAGAGAGACCAAAGCGCTATCAGAAGACTTTTTTTTAAATCAAAGGGAATCATTAGATTCTGAAATGCATTCCTTGGGAGGATGAGTTAGTTATGGCTTGCAGAGAAAAATTAGCTAAGCACCTAAGGAAAAGAAAATTGTACAGTTGAGGAAAGAGTGGCAAAGTATGACTGGACTACAGTTGTATCTGCAGACAGCTGGCATGAATGCATGGGGCCTAATGGTCTCATTCTGTGCTGTAACAATTGATTGATTCTATACCACTCATGGAGTATTGTGAAGTGATCGGATATCCATATTTTAAAAAGGATAAAGAGGGACTAAAAAATACACAAAATTAATTTCTTAGAATGGCCACTACAATATCCATTAAGAAAGACTACAGATTGATATTTCATGCTCTAGAAGCAAAGACAGAGGAGTGGCCTCATAAGAGTTCTTAAATATTATGAAATCATTTGATAACATGGATGTAAATAAGATATAAAAACAAGTTGCTGGAAAAGCTCAGCAGGTCTGGCAGCATCTGTGAAGGAAAACACAGAGTTAATGTTTCAGGTCTGGTGACCCTTCCTCAGAACTTTGAGCTCTGAGTTCTTGGAGTTCTGAGGAAGGATCACCAGACCCGAAACATTAACTCCATTTTTTCCTTCACAGATGCTGCCAGACCTGCTGAGCTTTTCCAGCAACTTTGTTTTTGGTCCTGATTTACAGCATCCGCAGTTCTTTTGTGAATAAGAGATTTCCACTTACAGATGTGACTGGAACTAATGGTCATAAATATAAGATGGTCACTGATAAATTCAATACGGAATTTAGGAGAAAGCTTTTTACTTAGCTAGTTAGAATGCAGAACATGCTACCACAAGGGCTATCTAAGGTGAGTAGTGTAAGTGCGTTTAAGGGAAAATTAAATGAGCATGAAATAGAAGAAGATATAAAAGAATTTGTTGTTCGAGTTAGAAATAGTAAGTTGAAGGAGACATTATGAAACATAAACAGCAGCATTTGTACTTTGTAATGTCCAGATATCAGATGACAAAATAAAACAAAGAACTGCGAATGCTGGAGATCTGAAACAAAAACAGAAATTGCGAGAGAAACTCAGCAAGTCTGGCAGTATCTGTGGAAAGAAAGCAGAGTTAACATTTCAAGTCCGGTGATTCTTCATCAAACCCGTCTTCATGAAGGGTCACTGGACTCAAAATGCTAACTCTGCTTTCTTCCCACAGACCTATTGAGTTTCACCAGCAATTTCTGTTTTTGTATTTGACGACAAATATCATTTTATTACAAATGTAAAACCATCTTGAAATGTTGCATTATTTTCTATCCTGCACAATTAACTTGCAGCTTTCTACTCTCAAAATTTCCTGACCAAATGTCAAATAAATATTTAATACCCTGAGCTTTAGACTACATCACAATTAATATTAAACAGGTCACAACTCCATCATTGTAACCTATTCTATATTTCTAACGCATTCTTAAAATATGGGGGTCGCATAATTGTTCATCCCAACAGCCCTAAGAATGAGATGGCAAGCCTTCTTCTCTATGCACAGCAGTCTATGACATGAACATGTTTTTATAATGCTATCAGATACGAAATTCCAAATGTCGATCAGTGAAAATGAAGGAACGGTGATAAATGACTAACTCAGTACAACTTGGATGGGCTTGTAGTAGATGTTCCATCTATCAGTTGCCCTTATATGCTAATTGGTAGAAGTGTCAGATATGGAGAAGCATCAAAGTCTGTTCAAAGGTTGCTGAAGTGTATCCTGTAGAAAACAAACATTTGCAACCATGGTATAATCGGGAGATTGTTAGGGAATTGAATCAAGGCCAATCAAGGGGAACACATTTTCCTTTTAGACGTTGAGTTTGTCACAGCTTAATTCATCCAAGCAACTAGGGCAGCATGGTGGTTCAGTGGTTAGCACTGCTGCCTCACAGCTCCAGGAACCTGGGTTCGAATCCACCCTCAGGTGACTGTCTGTGTGGAGTTTGCACACATTCTCCCCGTGTCTGCATGGGTTTCCTCCCGCAGTTCAAAGATGTGCAGGTGAGGTGGATTGGCCATGCTAAATTTCCAATAGTGTTCAGGGATGAGTAGATTGGGTGGGTTATAGGGGGATGGGTCTGGTTGGGATGCTCTGAGGGTAGGCGTGGACTTGTTGGGCCGAAGGGCCTGTTTTCAAACTGTAGGGATCCTATGAACTGGAAAGTATTCTCTCTCACTCCTGGCTTGCATCTTGGAGGTGGGGAAGAGACTCTTGGGAGGTACGATGCAGGTTACCCAGACACTGACATACTCTATAAGCTGTAACATTTCTTACGGAGGTCATGCATTGGAGTTTCTGGCAACTGGTGACCTGGAGTTTTATTGATGGGAGCTCAGTGATTATAATGCCACTGAATATGAAAGTGATTATGAAAATGTAAACATGAAGTTGAACGTGATCTCCTTCTTTTCTCCCCCTATCCAGTCCATTCCCAGTTACATCCGTGATTCTTCTGATGCTTTATGGCTGTACCAGAATTTCAGTTTGTGGGCACCAGCTGCCTCCTCTCCACCATGAATGGGCAGTTCCTTTACATGTCCATTCCCCATCAGGATGGTCTCAGGGCTCTTCACTTCTCCCTGGAAAAAGGCCTGAACAATCCCTATTCAACACCACCCTCCTCTGCCTGACTGAGCTCATCCTCACCCTGAAAAGCTTCTCCTTTAATTCCTCTCACTTTCTTCAGGTTAAAGGTGTGGCCATGGGTACCCACATGGCCCCAGTTATGCCTGTCTCTTTTTGGGGCACGTGGAACATTCCTTAATAACTCTTAAAATAATGCATGAAGAAGTAAGAACCTGCAGGGGACAAGACAAGAAGGAAGTAAGGAGAGGGGGTAGGAAGAGAAATCATTCCTATTGGTTTTATTTGTCATTGGTTCAGTCCTCCTTGTGATCTCCAAGGTCATTCTTCAGCCTAGACGGTCCTGTTGGCACCTGTATGAGGCCTTCACAGACTTTGCATTAATTTTGAAACTTAATTTGAAATTGAAGATAATGAAACTAATCTTATAAAGGCTCTCCTCCCTGGTTTCACAACCACTGCCATTTGTTACAGTCACTGTCCACTTACAATGCTGCCAGGCATTTCTTCCACCTTATCTTAGGAATCAGCCATGTGCTCCTGGTTTTCTCAGTTGACTACTGTCTCCTCTGTAACAGCTACCTAGCTGGAGCTGGGAAACTAGGCAATTGTACTTCAAACTGTTTATTTATTTAATTATGATTTTGTTGACAACTCCTCTCTCACCAGCACCACCTTCCACAAGCATACCCTCCTTTTATCGCTTCCTACTTCCCTAAATCATTCTTCTCATCCTGTCCCCCACCATCACCTCCATTGCCATGCAAGCTATAATTAGGAATATAAGACTTAGCAGCAGGAGTAGGCCACTCAGCCCTTTGAGCCTATTCCACCATCAATAACCCATGGTTGATCGAGTTGTCATTTCAACTCCACTTTCTTGTCTGTCCCCACCCCTGTCCCATAACCCTCAGTCCTTTGTCTATTTATTCAATGAGAACCTTTTTGAGTTGATGGTAATGACACAGTAAGTGTTTTAAACAATGTAAAAGTAGTTCCTAAGGCATGGTCAGAGAGACACTTCTGTGGGTGGAAGCTGATATTCCTAAAGGGGTTTTCTCATGACTGAGCTGAGGGGACAAATTGCACTATTTGAAAGGAACACACAATAAACCATAGATAACAAGGTGTAGAGCTGGATGAACACAGCAGGCCAAGCAGCATCAGAGGAGCAGGAAAGCTAATGTTTCGGGTCTGGATTCTTCTTCAAAAAAATACAAGAAAAACACAATAAACCATTATGGCTTAAATACACTCAGAACAATGTTAAGAAAGTATTTTTGTTATATTTCTGGGTAAGTGTGGAAAATTCATTAACAGAGTGGGGCATTTTCCCCTTGATAGAGGTGGAAAAAAGGGTAAATATTCAGGGGGATTGACACACCCTCTTCCAGCCACCTCACCAATTAAATCTCCACAGAGCAATCCATGGGTGACTTTCCCAAACTGCCATTAATGAGGGCCTTATGTATTCAACGAGCAGACAATTAAAGGCTTCAACCTGCCACCAGCCCAATTAACTGCCTTCCTAGCAACAGAGAAAACAGTTACTCTCCTGACAGGACAATCAAGAAAGCCTGTCTGCTAGGTCGTGGAGGTACCTATTTTCCCCAGTTTGGGAAATTGTTGGCATATTTGGGGAAAATAGGTGGCCAATGAAAGTCACTTACCTCCAAGTGCCCCCCCCCCCCGCAACTCAAAGTAGCTCCCACCGTACAATTGCGCCACCCAGAAAAAAATCACTTTCTCAGCGAGGCTCTTCATGGCTAGGACTCCAGCAACACCCTCTCGCTCTCAGTGATAGACAATCAGAGGCTGCAGCTGAGTTACCTTTGAAGATGTTCACCCCCAACACTTAGTGGAAAGACAACTAAATCCAGCCCACATTTTCATTTTGTTAGCCTCCAATTCTTGCCATGATAATTGTCCTGCACAGCACATGTCTTTCCCCACTGGGAAAGCACTCACAGGAAAAGTATTGTGTCATGTGCTCAATCGTGACCCAGACACAATCTTCCAAGTTCTCTAATACAACTACCGAACATTTAGTTTCACAGTTAAAGTCAAATAAGCAGTTAAAAAATTAAAATCGGATCCTGAGGCAAAGCTTTGATCCAGTTAGGTTAATGTTGTTCTCAAAGGAATGTTTTGCAACAAACAACTGATGTACCATGGAGCTTGGAGCCAAGTTTTAGTTATTTAAAGCATTTTGTGCCCTTATTCTGTAATCGCTGACATACAGTTAGCAATTACACTGCAAGTATTTTAAATAACTGCACCCAACCTCAAACCTTACTTACTTCCAGATCCTCTTGATCTCCAAACCATCACCAAAATGATTCCAGGCCTTGGTCTTGTTCCCACATCCTGTGCTGCCTCTTATAATAGCAAATGTTACCTCAGTCAGAAGATGGCCATAAGAGGTTAATTATCTAGGTCCAGTGAAAGACTGATCTATGAGGAGGAATTGCCTCGCTGTGGAAGTTGTGACTAAGATCTCCAGTTAGGTCCGGTCAACCATCTGACGTACATTGAAAACAGTAAAACAGCGACACTGTTATAAATTTTTGAGATTCCACAAACCACAGAGGATGTCATATGACACACTCTGTTTGACTTTTGTACAACTGATGCTTTGTTTCTTGTACAATTAAGAATCACTAACTACTCAATACATGAAAAATGAATTCCCGTTTATCAGTCTTGCATAAATATTTAGATGGCTTCCGTTTCTGTATTTACCCCATGTCTCAGGATTGTATCCATACTGCTCCTGAATGTCACAATCAACAAGCCATGTAACTGTGACAAAGGTGGAAGACATTTTTTTTTGCCCTTCTAGAATTGTTTGCAACCTTTGACACAGCTGACCACACCATCCTTCTCCAAGAGCTGTCCACTATCATGTCACTGGGTAGAATTGCGTTCACCTGACTCCATTCTCATTGGGCGAACTGCAGCCAGACAACTTCTCAAAAAAAAAAGCTCTGTAATGATGGCTTCAATTTCAAAGCAAATCCACTGAGGCCTATATCCTCAACCAACTCAATAGGGACATTCACTGGCAGCATTGGGAGTGGCTTTGCTGGTGGTGGGTTTCCTTTAGCCACTTCAGAAACCCAGGAGCCATGGAGGGAGCAAAGGATGAATTTTGTCTTTACCTTGTCTCAATTATTTCTTTTTATATTTCTGTCATTAAAATGTCACCGGATTATGGTGACTTACACACTTTTCACTGTATTTTCATAAATACAAGTGACAATAAACTACTGTTCTATTCTATTATAACCTGCCTTATAACCTAAGGACATTGACCAAAATTTTCTGAACTGTTCAACGATTGCCACCCAACACTGCACACATCATAGCTGGATTAATAAAATTTACATTCATTTCACCAAGGAAGTAACTAGTCCGTTGCTCAAAACAAAACAGTATTTTAGGAGGTCAGTGTTTTTCTGCTAAAATTTTATATCATACATTTCAGCACCACACATTCCTGCAATTTCATTCAACGTTTATTAATTACTCTGAGGAGTAAGTTTTCCTGTTTTCACTAAATGATAAATGCCTGGCTCTTTATGTTTAAAAGCCATGCAATATGCACATATAATGTTCAGTCGATTCCTGAAGTAAATTCATCAAAGATAGACAGCTGTGTTTTTATTCCTCAGGATAGTAGGGCAAGTATTTCTGATCTCATTGCTTGCCATGCTAATATTATCATTCAGCACTTCATTAGGGATTAATGAGGTGATAGCTCCTGGGTCATGATTGGGCTACCTGACCGCATTTCAACAACAACAGACCACATGTATCCCGTCCAGCAAGTCTTACTCATTACATTGACATCTGCTTTTATCAGATTTGAGGAAAAAAAACAGAATTACTTAGTGTAGCCACCAAAGTAAACAAATGCAGCTTGTGAGAATCATCACTTTTGCTTAAAATAAATGAACAATATGGAACTACTGCAATTTGCATTTATGTAGCACCTTTACTGCGATAAAATTTCTAAAGGCATTTCACAGAAGAAATGAATATAATTCATACCAAGTCAAGGAAGAAAATATTAGTACAGGTTACAGAAACCTTGAGCAAAGGTACAAATTTTAAGGGTATCCTAGCAAAGGTAGAGACATACATCACTAAAACAGATCATCTGGTCATTGTCCAATTGCTATTTTAGAGACGTGAAGTGTACAAATTTATTGCCAATTTTGCCTACATTATATTAAGGACTACACATCAACAGTACTTTATTTGCAGTGGAAGTGTTTTGGGATATCCTGTGGTTATTAAAGATCCTATATGCATGAAAAGTCCTTCTTTATTAGGTGAAAATACAGAGCTGGTCATTGGTATGTAATGCTTGCAACACAAAAAAAAACAGAAATCCACTGCATTTGAATCAAAGTTATGTGGATCGGAAAGTCGTTATTTTTATTTTGTATTGTGTAACAGCAAGAGACAATGATGAAGCAGGATGCTAGGGGTTGACTTAAAAATGAGAAGGGTGCAACCACGCATGAGTGCTGCTACACTATTGCCTTTATGGTCAGCAATTTCCAATTCATGGTGATATATAGGTGACTGTAGAACTTTTGAGTTACAAAATTACAGAATTGTTATGGTGCAGGAGGCCATTTAGTTCATCATACCTGCACTGGCTCTTCAAACGAACATTATTGTCTACTACCAATCTCCTGTGTTGTCCCCATACACTTGCACACTACGTCTATCCAAATAATCTTCCAATGCCCTCTTGAATACCTCATTTGAAACTGCCTCAACCACATTCTCAGGCAGTTCATTCTATACATTAATTACTCACAATGTGATTTTTTTTTCTCACATCACACTTGCTTCTTTTGCACATCACTGAATCTACAATCTCTCATTCTTGTTCCTTTTATGAGCAGGAATACCTTCTACTTTATTCAGCCTGCTCATAATTTTTAAAATATCTATCAGGTCTCCTCTCAGCCTTTTTCTCTCCAAGGAGAACAGTCCCAACTTCTTCAATCTATCCTCATAACTGAAGTTTCTTACTCCTGGAACTATTCTTGTAAATCACTTCTGCACTCGCTCCAAAATATTCACATCCTTCCTATAATGTGGCACCCATAACTTCACACAATATTCCACATGTGTCTAATAACAGGGTCCTATTCCAGTTTTACATCACCTCCTTACTCCTGTATTTTATGTCCCTAATAATAAAGCCGAGGACACTGTATGCTTTATTAATAGTTCTTTCCACCTGTCCTGCCACTTTCAATGATCTGTGCAAATATACACCCACGTACCTCTGCTTCTGCACCCCATTAAGAATTGTACCCACTATTTTATACTGTCTTTCAGTGCTCTTCTGACCAATACGCAACACCTCACACTTCTCTGCAATGAACCTCATTTGGCTCTTATGCTCTCACTCCACTAACTTGTCAATGTCTTTTTGGAGTTCTTCACCATTCTCCTCAGTTTACAGTTCTTCCGAATTTCACATCACCTGCAAACTTTGAAATTAGCTCCTAAATACAAAGATCCAGCCTTCTATTATGTGTTAGGAAAAGTGAGGGTCCAGTTCTCAGCTTCTCTGCAATGTTGTATCATTTCATATTTCCCGTTTCACTAATACAAGGCAACACAGCTAGGCTATTCGACACCCTTGAGACTATTTCATCATTCTGTTACACCATTGTTATTATTATATCCCATTTTCCTTTATCTAATTTTGATCCATATCCCATCAGTTTAACAAAAATCTACCAAGCTCAGTTTTAAGTTAGCCAAGCACCCAAAGTGCTATGGTGAGGGCGGGGGTTTGGGGAATCCCAGATTCTGATTATCCTTTGTGTTAATAAGAAATGCTTCCTGATTTCATTTCGAACTGGTCTAACTGTATTTTAACATTTGACATCCCGCATCCAATGAACTGGGCCTGCAAGACCGTGGATAAAGAAACTTCAATGAAAATGATTAACACTTATTACCTCCAAATAGGAGAGATCTTCTGCAGCTGTTGAACGCGTTTTTAAATGATAACAATAAATTGAGCTTTCTAGTTTTACTTCAAATCGCTGTGAGATATACAAGGACTAGTACAGTTAGCATCCAAACCTTAAACCCATCAATTAACATTTTGTTTGGGTAAGATAATCCTAACACATTACAACAGTCCCGTTATTAGCTGCTATTTGGGCTGCCAAGATCTCAATATGGCAGCCAGGATGTGTACACATATTTCTGGCCAAAAGTGCATCACTGCCACAGTGGATGCTTTAAACAGTTTTTAGGTGTTTTTGCATAAGTTGGTAAGAGCACCACACTTGTATGTTGCTCACTCATGATACTGTGCTGAGCCCAAATAAGAAGACATGCAACTTTGTGAAAAATGGAGCTAGAATGAGCAGGCGTGCAATTGCTGAGGCTATATTAAAGGAACTGATCTTGCACACAACATTGCCTCTGAATGGCCTTCACTTCTATCCCTTCTGCATTCCTGATTTTCCTTCACTGCTGTGAAAACAAGATTATCACTCACTTTGCCATAAATATTGACTCATATGCATTAAATTATTCTTTCCTCTCGGCCATTTTGTTCTCATTCTTTATGACAATGATACTTAATTTGCAGCTTTACCTTCGTAAAAGTGTCAAGGTGCTTCATAGGAGAATTATCAAACAAAATTTGTCACTGAGCCACATAACAAGACATTAGCGTAGATGACCAAAGCTTGGTTAAAGAAGTAGGTTTTAAGCAGTGGCAGTGGTGTCGGCAGTGGGACATCATTTATCTGACAATATTGACAGAAAATGTCTCTATATACTTTATACAAATTAAGAGGCTCATAATTTGGCTTGTTGTGATACTGAAACACTGATCATTAGTGATAGGATCTTTATAGCATCAGAAAACTTATTTTATGTAAAAACATTATCCGCATGCATGGGGAGGATTAAGGGCCTAATAGCCCTCAGAGTCCAAACACTGTAGGAATGCAACTATACTATAGGGAGCCAACCACCTCAAGCACATGATTGTCGGGCTGCATTTGTGGACATGTTGGTGTCTGCGATGGACAGCCACTCCCAGCAACCTTTGGATCTGTGGAGAAGCACACACACCACCCCTCAGCACTCCAGCCATTGGCCCTCAAGATGAAAGCATGGCGACAAGGGGACAGGGATCCTGCAGCACACTCTATATGCCCCTACCTCACAAGGAGACAGGGCAATGCCAGGAGGCACCCAGGTAGAGGAGGAACCACACACAGACCACTTCAGAAGTCTCCTCTTTGAACACTCCAGTGGTTGCCAGACCCTCCAACCTATCTGGCCCCTTCCGACTTTTGGGAATTCAAGCCAAGTAGGGTCAACACCTCTGGCTAGAAGACCCTCAGCATGTCAGGGTCCTCAGGACATGAATGCCCACAAGGTATTCAGATCAAACCTCCAGGGATAATGAGC